AATTAGCCTTTAAAAAAAAAAAAAAAAAAAAAAAACGCGGTGGTTTTGTATGGAGTAGGAGTTGTTTGTGAGCTTCGGGTTGTCATCCTTCCCATGGGGCGCCTACCCTGCCAGGCACCATAGCTGTGTGCACCATAGCTGTGTGAGAGCTATGGCAACAGTGCCCTGGCGTAGCCTAGCCCTTGAGTGGGTAGGAAGTGCCTTGCACTCTTACGCCAAGGCATCCTGGCAGCTCCGTACTTGACCCCCATATCACTCTTTATACCAGACAGTATCTCGATACCAGAGGAGCCGTCCTCCCTCAAGCCTTTGCTGATAGGGGGGGTTCCTTTCTCAATACCCAAAGGTCGTTCGCCGTACTCTCAAGACATGCTATTTGTACAAAGTAGCTTGGAAGGCGGAACGACGCAATTGGACGCAGTGGGAGTGCGTGCGGCTGCGGTGGCAGCGTTTCGGCAGGTCCAAGAGCTTCAGCATGTTTCGGTGGATTCATCTACGACACAAGGCAGATGGACGATCGTTCATTTCAAGTTTCGTTTTCTCACTTAAAGTTGGGTTCCATTGGTTATATGTCGGGTCGTGTTCTCATTTAAGGCTTGCAATGTCACGGAGTTTTCTTGTATGAATGAGATTCACAGTTTCTTGATAATTTTAATCGCTGGGGTATGTTTGCAGTAGTTTAGGGCGACACTCACAGGTTTGGATGATATGTGAGACCCGATGAAGAGCAAACTAGAGTTGTATCCATTGGGTGCGTGGTGGGAAACCCGTCTAGGCAACAAAGGCTCTTTACAGCGTTTTGGATAGCGAGGTTGAGAGGGTAACCCTATTGTTTAGTCCTCTGTCCCAGCCTTTAGTCATTGATTGATCTTGTAGTTTGCTATTCCGTAGGTTTTTGTTATCTGGGTTGTTGCAAAGCCCTGAAGCCCGATGGGGGGTGGCACCATTAGCGGGAGTGGGAGACTCACTGCTGGCGGTGGGAACGTGTCCCGGGCTTGAAGGGTAAATAATTGTCCGCCATAACTTTATTTTAGTTGGGCTGTGTTTTCTTCTATCGTTTGCGTTGGTGTTGAGTTTTCATGTATGATTGAGTTTCATAGTTTCTTGTTATTTGTATGTGTCGGAGTACGTATGTAGTAGTTTAGGTTGATACTCTCAGGGTAGGGATGATATGTGAGACCCGGTGAAGAGCAAACTAGAGTTGTATCCATTGGGTGCGTGGTGGGAAACCCGTCTAGGCAACAAAGGCTCTTTACAGCGTTTGGATAGTGAGGTTGAGAGGGTAACCCTATTGTCTAGTCCTCTGTNAAGGCTCAGAGCAGTGAGCCAATCAAGGCTCTTTTCAATAATTTCTCAAAAATGATATACCTCGAAAATGATATGCTGGCTAGTTCCCAAGGCTCAGAGCAGTGAGCCAATCAAGGGTCTTTTCAATAATTTCTCAAAAATGATATTCCCCGAAAATGATATGCTGGCCAGTTCCCAAGGCTCAGAGCTGTGAGCCAATCAAGGTTCTTTCCAGCGATTTTTTCGAAAATGATACTTCCCTGGAAATAATTTGAGCAGCTAGCCAATTAAGGCTCTTTTCAATATTTTCTCAAAAATGATACCTTCCTGAAAATGAGTTGAGCAGCGAGTCAATCAAGGCTCTTTTCAGCAATTTCTCGAAAATGATGCTTCCTCTAAGATGATTTGCTCGCCAGCTCGCAAGGCTCAGAGCCTGTCTCTTATACACATCTAGATGTGTATAAGAGACAGGGGTGCGTGGTGGGAAACCCGTCTAGGCAACAAAGGCTCTTTACAGCGTTTGGATAGTGAGGTTGAGAGGGTAACCCTATTGTCTAGTCCTCTGTTCCAGCCCTTAGTTATCGATTGCACTTTTGATTGATATTTCGTAGGTTTTTGGTATTTGGGTTGTTGCGAAACCCTGAAGCTCGATGGGAGGCGACGCCATTAGCGGGAGTGGGAGACCCACTAGTGGCGGTGGGAACGTGCCCCAGGCGTGAAAGGTTAATAATTGTCCGCCATAGTTTCGCTTTAGCTGGGTTGTGTTCTCATTTATCATTTGCTTTGGTGTTGAATTCCCATGTTTAACTTAGTTTCACAGTTTCTCGTTATTCTCAAGTGTCGGGATACGTTTGCAGTAATTTAGGGTGATACTCTTAGGGTAGGGATGATATAAGAGACCCGATGAAGAGCAAACTAGAGTTGTATTCATTAGGTGCGTGGTGGGAAACCCGTCTAGGCAACAGGCTCTTTACAACGTTTTGGATAGTGAGTTTGAGAGGGTAACCCTAATGTCTATCCCTCCTTCCCAGCTCTTAGTTATTGAGATTCTTCGTCTTCTAGTTTGATAGATCTTGGAGTTTTGTGTGGTTGTTCTCAATCGTTTATCCTTTGTTCTCAAATATTAGAATGTCTAGCTTAAATTTAGTAAGCACTTGATTTGAAATTTGAAATTGAACTTTATCTGATAATTTAGTCTGCCTTTGGAAATAATTTTTAGGGTACTCAGTATCGTGAATTGCCTTGTGCATTTTCGAAATCTGCAGATGATAATTCGTTGTTTCTTGCCATTAGTGTTTCAATTTTAGAAACATATCGACATGTTCCTGGACAGCAAGGATATTGCATTTTAGGCTGAAGGAGTGAAGAGTTTTCTGCTATGATTAGTTCAACCACCATTTTTACTGTGCTTCAAGGCTATTTTGATAAGTTCTTCTTCCGTGTGAGGTTGAGTGCTCTGGAAACGCTGGACCCGGTTTCCAGCAGGTTTTCCTTTCTTGGTAACACCGGGTAGAATTGTCAGGTCCCCAGCCTCGACCACTATTGTTTTGAAATATAAAGCGACAACTTCTCAAAAAAAAAAAAAAAAAAAAAAAAAACGCGGTTGGAAAAAAAAAAAAAAAACGCGGATTACCCAAGTGCCTAGCTCAGTGGGTACACCAATGAACTGTTAAAATGTACGCCCGTGTTCTTATCCAGATGATGGAAATTGATGAGTAAAATTAACTACTAATGAATTGCTTGGGGTCGGTCAGCTCAATGATAATATCTCAAGGCCATCGCCCTTTTATTACGAAAAAAAATGGATAATTTGCAAAATACCCCCATAAGTTGATATATATGCCAAAATGCCCCTGAAAGATGTGGGTGGAGCGGAATGCCCTTTCGGGATGGAATCTTTGTGTTGTGCCCCTGTCAAGCGGGCGTGCAACCTTGCAATCTGGACCTCCCCGTTTGGGCCTTGGCCTTTTGCAAAAGCGCCTAGGAAAAGTTGTCAAGTACTGGGGCATTTCGCAAAGCTGGATTGTACCCGGTAGGGGTATATTGCAAAGATGGGGGTCCAACCGACACCAGGGGCATTTCACAAAATATTTATTTTGTCAGAGGGGCATTCCGCTCTACCCACATCTTGTAGGGGCATTTTGGCATATATCTCAACTTATGGGGGTACATTGCAAATTATTCCCCCCCCCCCCCAAAAAAAAAGGTGGATTTGGGATGGTACCATGAAGGGCGACAAGGGGGACTGCTATATTGCCACACAAATCGACTCGCGAGAGCCTTCCGTCCGCCTAGAAT